TGACACAAACTCTAAAATGTTCCCAAAAATGGATTTTCTGCAGTGATTTTTTGCTGCTGACACTCAATGGGCAGAGCTGGGGTGTGACACCCTCGTGAATTCTGAACCAAGAGCCAAAATCTCRGTGTTTACATGAGAACAAAGATGATTTACCGGTCTGGCTGGAGAATGAAGAGCTTTGAGAAGTGGACAGGCAAAAGGTTGGTTTGTTTAATCTGAGGAAAGAAAAGGTCAGGAAAAGGGCAAAGAAAAATAGAGGAGGGCAAGGAAAAACAGAGGAGGGCAAAGAAAAAAACTGAAAAGGGCAAAAAAAAATGGAGGAGGGCAAAGAAAAACCACACGAGGGCAAAGAAAAATTGAAGAAAGCAAAGAAAAACTGAAGAGGGCAAACAAAAACAACATGAGGACAAAGAAACACCACATGAGAGGAAAGAAAAATTGAAGAGGGCAAAGAAAAAATGAAGAGGGGAAAAAACCACCCGAGATCAATGCTGGAACACAGAACAGGATGCTTTGCTGCCCCAGGGGCTCCATCTGCCCCCCTGAGCTTCTCCAGGTGTCCAAATCCCATTCCCAAATCCCCTCAGGGGCTTTGTTTTGGTCACAGAAAGGCAAAAACCGGTTTTAAAATGAGCATTAAGCAGCTGAGAGTGGGGTTTATGTGAGGACAGAGCTGGGATTTCTCTCTGTCATCTGAAGGAGAAATAAAACACAAACCATGCTTTGTTTTCTTGGTTTTTTTTTGAGTTATACTTTCAAAAATCTCGGTGTATTTGGCAGAAAACAAACAAAAAACAAACCACAGAGCTCCACAGTCCACAGCTTTTATAAAAGTGACATGAATAGAAAAGAAACAAAATACCACAGATGCAGCACAGACACCAGGATGAAAAAAAAATCAGCATTTCCCTCCTTCCAATCTTTGGGGAATCCACCCCAGGCAGGYGTGGAAATGGAATCACAACTGGAAATGTCACCACGAGCCTAAATTTCACAGGAATTCTACCAGAAACTTCCTCTTAGCCATTATTTTTACCATAAAAACCACTATATGGCCATGCTACAACCTTCCAGAAGAGTGGCAATTATTCAAATCCACTCATTTTCACTTTGTTTTGTTCCCAAAAAAGTCCATTTGAATGTTTTTGTAGCTACTTGTGCGTTTTTTTTTTTTTGCCAAAACTACTGACTGTTCTTCAGAACTCTGAAAAGTGAACTTTTCATCTTTGATCCACCACAAAAATAAATTTCCTTTAAGAAAAGGAAACTTAAGAGCAGCAGAAATCAAGATTTGCCTCAGTTTATGGTTAATATTCCTCCCTCCCACCTGTCACAGAYACCTCTGAGGTTCTTAATTAGGAATTAGACAAATATTTTACACACAGGTCAGACTCATAACCCTGAGTTTCTAAGAGGCAGCTTTTTGTTGCACTCTTAGAAAAAAAGATTAAAAAAAAAACCTCATTGACTTATTTCCTCATAACAGAAAGGCATAATAAAACAAAAATAAAATAATTAAACGGTTTCTTACAGAAATACAGAGATCTTGCTTCCTTTTTTACAATTTTCAGTGGTTTTTTTTTTTACCTCTAAGCAACTCCAAGTATTTAATTCAACGCTCCATTTACACAGGAAGTGTGTGTCAATACCTGCATTTCAGTTTTGTCAAACACGTGATCAGAATGCAATTATTTCCACGTTAAAATTTCAGAAGGAAAAAACAACTACAAATCCTAAATTTGTAGTCAGCAGTAGGTGCTCAGCACTGCTCATTTTCCACGGTTTGCTTCAACCAAAACCGAAAAATTAATTGGTGGGAGAGGATTCTCTTTTAGAATCGTGGGATGTCCCGAGTTGGAGGGGAGCACCCAGCCCTGCACAGACACCCCAAAATCCCACCTTGTGCTGTCTAAAATCCTCCTGGAGCTCTGGAAGGTTTTGGGATCCTAAAAATGCCCTCACAGGGCTGGAGCAGAGTGGGACAATYCCCTCCTTGGAGCTCTTCAGGCTCTACAGCGCACAGGAACAACGGAGCTGCAGGAAAC